AGTTTTCCTGGAAAGATCTTCCAAGAGAATCTGAGCAGTCCCACCGAAGCTGGAGCTTTTAAAAAGTGGAACCACCACCCGAGGTTCCCAGCGTCCACCGGGACAGCCCTGAAGCATCCCGAGTCTTCCCCAGCAGCGCTCCAACCGCACTGATTAGTGCAGGCAGTAAACTGCTTCTCCTTCCCACTGTCCTGCAGCTTTCCCATCCCCACTGACTGCCTTGCTCAGAATTCCTCCCACATCCAAGTTTTTGTTTCAACGCTGTTGAAGCTGGACTCTGCTGGCCTGCCTGTACCTGCCAGCAGGTCTGAAGGAGATCTTCCACTCCAGTGTTTGGAAGCTCAAACAGGCTTCATCTGCCCGACTGTGAACTCTGCATCTCAGTCTGACAGCGAGATTCCTGACGCAGTTTGTAGCTGAACTGTTCCCGGTGGCACATTTCTCTGTTTTCTTTCACCCTTTTCAAATTATTTATGCACAAATATTTTTCTGTTCTGTCTGAAGGTGATCGAGGAGGTGAGCATCGCAGGAGAAACGGAGATGCACAGCTACTCGTCTCTGAATAAGTCAGACCAGCTGCTGTCCTGCAGGGTGAGACACTCAGATACACCATCATGGGCAGAAATCTGTGCCATCAGGAACTGAATTTGAAAAAGTTAAATTTGAATTGCTCGGATTGAATCTGAATTGTAACTTGAATAAATGCTTTTAAAAACTGAATATGAATTAGCCTAATTTGAAATTCAATTTATTGGTTTGAAAATGATCATCACTAAACTGAAATTGAATTTTATATTTTGAAAATGAATTCATTTGCTTTGAAACCGTATTTTATCCTTTAAAGATTTAGCTCTCGAATAATTTCAGTTTCAGTTCTACAATTCAGTTTTTTGGGACTTACATCCGGTTCAAGCGCAGATTAATAGAACTACGTTTTACTAGCGGACCGAAAGTGTTACTGACGGGAATCTACAGCGTCTTGAGTTGAATTAAGACTTCAGAAGTCATTCGTCATGTTGTCGAATGAGCAGCGGATAAACTCAGGTTGGTAATAAATGTATTACATGTATAAGATGTATAGCTAAAAACACCTCCACTTTGTTTTACGTTCGCTGTGTATTCTGAGTATTATGGCAAAAGACGTGGTAACCTGATTTCAAAATAAAAGCTCCTGAAGCATGATTTCAAAATAAAGGCCAACTTTCAGTAAATTAAGAGCACATTCACAAATATCAATTAGTCTCATTTGCACACTCTAATGTTGGATACAAATGACGTACCCCAGTATTCTAGTAGCAACATGTCAATATTAAAGCCATCTCCTTTTGGATTTCAAAGTAAAAGCCCTCTGAATGTTTATTTTTGAACTACTCTTTCAATGAATTCAGAATAAAAAATTCACAGTGATACCATATCAATATCAAGTCACTGTGATTTTGCCTTCCAAAATAAAAGCCTTTTCAAATTGCTCATATATGACCTACTCTTTTAACTATTTCAAAATGCTCTTAAATTGAAATTTGCTGTTTCCACAGGATGAATCCATGTTAGATCAATAGTATCCAACCCCACAGTGATACCATATCAATTTCGAGTCAGGCTGATTTTGCTTTCCAGTATAAAAGACTTTTCAAATTGACCATAAAAGATATACTCTTTTAACAATCTCAAAATGCTCTAAAAAGGAAAATTGCTGTTTCCACAGGATAATGCCACTTTAGATCAACAGTATCCAACCCCGACAGTAAAACCATGTAAACTTCAAGTTGCTCTGATTTTGCCTTTCAAATTAATGGCCCGTCGAATTTGCCCATATGTGATATACTCTTTCAATTACTTCAGAATGTTTTAAAAATGAAAATTGCTGTTTCCACAGGATAATTTCACTCTAGATCGACAGTGTACACTATCACGGGGATACCAAGTCAATTTCAAGTCGCCTTGATTTTGCCTTTCAAAGTAACGGCCCGTTGAAATTGCCCATGTATGACCCACTCTTTCACTGACTTCAGAATCCCTTAAACCCTTAAAAGCAAAGTTGCTGTTTCCACGAGATCATTTCACTCTACATTGACAGTGTACAACCCCACAGTTTTATCACGTCAATATCTTGATTATAATTGTTTGTGAGGGACTTTTTATAATTAAACACGGATGCTGTTAACAGGACAATTTCTGTTTCCACTAAGTAATTGGAGTTCATGCAAACCATAGACAACCTCGACAGCAGTAACATCTCAATCTCAAATCAATCTCATTTTGCATTTCAGAGTAAAAGCACTTTGACTTTGTTTATAGGAGCTTCTCTTTCCCTAACTTCAGAATGGCATTATTTGGAAAGTTCCAGCTTCTACCCATTAATTCCAGTTCATGCCAACACATATCATAACATATAATCTAACAGTGGAGTCTGGAATAGTTTTTATAAAACACCAGAGGTGCGAGACAAGCACGATCTGATATCGTCGTGTTGGTGTTGTTCCCAGATCATCATACTAAATGTTGTTCCAGGATCAACATTGCAAGTGACCAATCAGAATGTTGTGACGTCATACTTTTGCGACTTCGGGAAAAACTGCCGTAAAACAAAAAACTGTACTTAAGCTGCGAGAAACCGCCTCTGTCCGCCGATCAACGGACCCTGACCTTTTAATAAACGCTAAGCAGAATTGATATTGTCCTTGCAACATTGGAATTTCATAAATGCACGAATGGCTTGGCCAAAGAATAACGTCACAACAATGTGATTGGTCACTTGCAATGTTGAACCTGGAACAATACCAACACGACGATATCAGATCATCCGCCAGACAATGCCTTACGAACAAAAAGAATAATAACAATAATTTTTCTGATCACAGAGAAAAAGTCCTAGCTCATCTGCTATTTGTATGAGAATTGAAAGGCCTGCAGATAATTTTATGAATCCAGTTGCTCAAAGCAAGAAAAGGTCCCAGTCTTTAGATTCCTGTCCATTCCTGAAAGATGTTACAATGGCAGTATCATCTGAGTATTTCTGGATTTGGCAAGACTCAAGATATATATTTGAAGTGTGCTGTATACAGGGTGGGTCATTTACATGGATACACCGTAACAACATGGGAATGGTTGGTGATATTAAAGTCCTGTTTGTGGCACATTAGTATATGTGAGGGGGCAAACTCCTCAAGATGGGTGGTGACCATGGTGGCCATTTAGAAGTCGGCCATCTTGGATACAACTTTTGTTTTTTCAATAGGAAGAGGGCCATGTGACACATCAAACTTATTGGTAATGTCACAAGAAAAACAATGGTGTGCTTGGTTTCAACGTAACTCGCGCTCTCAACATCTCCAAAAACGTAGAGCACTTATGCAAATATGTGATGTCTTGATAAATTGAGCAGGTATTTGAAGTTTACACAGAAACATTCTCACATGAAAATATCTTAAAAGTTTATTTTGTGACCCAGACAGAGTAATATTTCAAACTCCGCCACTCTGTGTTCCTCCGCCACTGCCTCGTTTGAGTTTTGGACGAAATGGATTCTGGGATATTGCATTTCGTCATTTCGAGCTGATTGGAGACCAAACAGCCAATCAGATTTTTTGCATCCAAGTCTGTGATTGGCTGGTTTTGTGGCACAAATATAACGGTGTACAGAAAGAGTTGAGCGCGCACGGGCAGAAATGTTGAGAGCGAGCAACACATTGCGAGCGAGGCAATGCAAAAACTGAGCGAGAGGGGCTGCTGTTGTGTGTGTGTGTGTGTGTGTGTGTGTGTGTGTGTGTGTGTGTGTGTGGATAATAGCAAACACTGAAATACATTTTTGCACGCAGCAATGAATTTTGTTCACTCAAATTCAGCTTTTCTTTGCTCAAAATAAATTTCTCCTCAAAATGCAACACTTGCACCTGCAAACCTTTTTTTACATGCGCTCAGAATAGTGGCACAAAAATAACGCCATACAGTTACAGCAGTGCAAGTAAACCAACAACATATACAAGAAGAGTAAGAAAATAAATCTACACTTTAGGACTCTGGGTAAAGGATCAATAACAATTTAAAATTTATAATTTACAGTTTGATGATTTAAAGTCTCACAACCCGTCGAAAGGGGAGGGGCCTGCTGCTTCCAAATAGAGCACATTTCATTCAGAATTTTGTAAATCCAAGTCCATCATGTATTCATGATTTGAATCCTGGGTTGTGTGAAATCCCAGAAATAAACCTTAGACAAAGTGAATCTGTGAACTAAGGTGTAGGTGTGTTAGGTTATGTTGTGGTGATCCTCGTTGGGGGATTTGTGTTCATACTGGAGTGCAAAATTAAAACCAATGTAAGATGGACAAGAAAAGTTCAAAGCCATCAGGTGCTCAGTTTAGAAAATAGAGAAAAGAAGAGAAACGAGCAAAAGATGCAGGTAAGCAGATGTGTGATTGGATAATGGCAGCTCATCCTGAACCAATCAGAATCAGAATACTTTGTTAATCCCTAAGGAAATTATGTGGGTTACAGTTGCTCCAAGAAGAAATGGTAAAAATAGCAACAGTAACAGACTAAACTGCAAACAATACATTATGTTACAGATTTTACACATTTAAGAAACAGCACTAATATAAACGGATCACTCAATTATAAATATCAAGGACTAACAGAGGTGATGATAAATAAATATCAAGAAAATTGACAAGAATATTCCAGAATAGAAAAGAGCGTGTGTAAAAAGGCTGTAACTGTTGCAGTGTTCACAGTGTGTTAGGTGGAGGAGTTGTACAGGGAGATGGCCACAGGCAGGAATGATTCCTGTGTTGTTCAGTGGTGCATTGTGGGTAATCTCAGTCTCTCATTGAGCGTGCTCCTGTCACTAGCCAGTACATCATGGAGTGGGTGGGAGGTGTTATCCAGGATTGTCCTTATCTTGGACAACATCTGCAGAGGGAGTGTTCGCCTGGGCGCCAAACAGCCTCGGATTGTCACTGCCTCCTGGCGTGAATAATCTCGAACCTGCTCTGTGAGAAAGCAAACGTAGCTGTGACCATGAAACGAGCAGCCGTGGTCATACCTGCACTTCCTGCTAATGCCGTGTCTCTTCCTTCAGTCCAGTATAGTCCAGTCTGACTCTGACGAGGAGGAAGCTTCAGCTCGCTGCAGCCTCAGCAAGAACAAAGGTACGGGCCGAGCAGCACAGTAAACTGCACGATTCGATCATTGAAGAGAGTTTTTGTGTCTTTTATATACGAATTAAAAATGTGCATGGAAACTAACTGTACATCAAAGATGGATGTAGCCTCTGTGACATCGCCTGTCTGTTAGCGAGGTCACATGACGCGAGGTCTGAGCTGTGGCGTTTGCCTGCGGCAGGTTTCCTGAACGTACTGATGAACTGCCAGTGGCAGAGTTTACTGTGTCGGGTGGAGGCCGGGGTCCTCAACATGTTCGGGGAGGAGGCGGTGCAGGGGGAGCGCTCGCCTCAGTACACCGTCCAGCTCAGAGGCTGTGAGGTCAAACCTGACACCAAGCACTGCTACAGGATCACACTGAGCATGCTCGATGACCAGATGGCGGTGCTGGAGGTGAGCTGGTGGAACAGGGAGTTTGAATTCATCCACTTCAACTTGTTACTCAATAACGTGTCCTCCTTCCTTCCTTCCTTCCTTCAGGTGAGCAGCTCAGAGGAGAAGCAGCGGTGGTTGAAGCTGCTGCAGGACGGCGCTGCGTATTACTGTCACCATGACAACAAAACACAGGAGCACTCAGGTGTAACTCTCAGGTACGAGGTGCATCATCTCAGGCTGAAACACCAGCTCGTCCTAGTGGTCACATGTGGTACTGCAACCCCAACCCCACGTTTATGGATCAATCATAATAACATTTATTATAATAAAAACACTGAATGTCACATTCGGGTAAATCAGGGCTGTCAAATACACAATCGCAACAATCATTTTATTCATTTGAAGATTTTTTGAATACAAGTGCTCATTCGTGTCTCTGAGCTGTCAGCACCTGTCTGGCCCTTTGAATCGTCTCTTATTTTTACACGCAGTCCTGATTCTGTGGGCGTGATGTTCATATTTCACCAGCGCAGCGTCGCTAACTCCGATAAAGCTTTATCTCGGCTCTGAGTTGAGGGCTGATTTTGCTTCCTCTCGTCCTCAGTGGGCTGCAGACTCGCAGGTTTCCCTCCTCCAACACCTACATGGACGACCCCTTCCACCTGAGCGAGCCGGGCCGAGACCAGCCCATCTACTCCAACACCTCCGTCCTGGAGCACATGGTACGGGCTGCACCGCACGACATTCGGATTTAAGATAAGATCAGATGATCCTTTAATAGTCCCACATGTGGGAAATTTTTGGTCACAGCAGAAAGTCGAAGAGCAGTAAAAAATTAAGAGAAAAACAACAGAATAGAATAAGATAAACAATCTTATTTGGAGTAACTCGTAACGTCGCCTGTATGTCGTCTTTCAGCTCCACGGCTCTCAGGGTTCGATTCGCTGCAGCTCGGTGTCGTCCAAAGGCTCAGTGACCTACAGCAACACCGTCCTCAGCGGCCACAGTGAGTCCTTATGATGCTCAACTTCAAAATAAAAGACTTTCCCTATATTAGGTTTGCTGGGCTTTTATTATGAAAATTGAAAGTTTCTTAAAAACCTGGCGATGCTGATTCAGAAATGGTCAACATGAAGCACAATAACAGCGGTGTGCATGAACCAGTGTCTGAAAACTGAGATGCCTTAAACCTGCACGCTTTCTAGTGTCCAGCAGGGGGCGACTGCTCTACTTTCAAAATCAGATCTGATCGTATCTAAAGTGTAAAGTTTGGATTTAATGTGAACATAAGACCATAAGAGGTAAATGCTATGGACCAACAGCTGGCCAAACTCACTGATAAGCTCCTATCATCAGCTGTTAGTGAGCAGTCCTGGATAAACAGTGTAACGTGTAGATGGAGTACTGGGTGGAGCTGATGGAGGACCGGTTGGATGCTCTGCGTTTCAGACAGGAAGTCGGCCGAAGTGCAGCGAAGCATTCAGAAGCTCGAGCTGACCGACAGGAAGGTAGTGCCGCTGAGGGCGGGGTCAGAGATCAACCTGGCATCCAGCACAAAGCAAAACAAGCGCACCTCCTTCAGACAGTCCCTGGCCATCTACAGTGAGCGCGCTCAGGTAGGAAAATTGAACCTGGACATGTGTGGATGGGGGAGGGTGCATGAACGACCTGTGAGAGGCCGTTGAGCGTTGATAATATATCCACTCTGAACCTGGTCTCTGCTGGTCCAGGCTGGCATCCTGAACCCTCTGCTGCGACGGACGGCCTCAGCTAAAAACTCCTTGAGACGGGCTCCTTCGGCGCTGTTCATCGAACATGGAAAAGTTTTCCAGAGGAGGAAGGTGAGAGTCGCACAAACACAGACGGCCCCGGCACAAAATGCTACTGAAGCTTCATATTCAAAGATTCAAAGTTATTCACACTGATCAGGTTACAGTGACATCAGCCTCATTTCTCTTTATCCTCATGTATCCAGCCATCAAATGTATAACTTATTTTACAATTCAGGCTTATTTACTTAGCACCAATTCACAACATTCACCTCGGGGTGCAAAGTAAAACTCTACAATATTAGAGAGAAAACCCCAACAATCACACAGTCATCGAGTGAGCAGCGCGATGACTGTATGGAGGAAAACCTCCCTTTTAACAGGAGGATTCAGGGTCACCTGGTCCAGCCCTAACTATATGCTTTAGCAAAAAGGAAAGTTTGAAGCCTAATCTTGAAAGTGGAGATAGTGTCTGTCTCCTGAATCCAAACTGGAAGCTGGTTCCACAGAAGAGGGGCCTGAAAACTGAAGGCTCTGCCTCCCATTCTACTTTTAAATACTCTAGGAACAACAAGTAGGCCTGCAGAGCGAGAGCGGAGTGCTCTAATAGGGTGATATGGTACTATTAGTATTTAATAATTGATTAGCTAAAAATGCTAACAGCTAAATAATAATAGTGTGTTTAGTGTTAATGTAGCATTTTAGCTAACATGTTAAACAGAGATTGAATTACTGAGCTGTGAAATTTTTAATAAACAGCAGAAAACAGCAGCAATTCAGAGGAACCTTTGTCACTAATTTCACTATTTCTCATTATTCTTTTAGGAATGGGAAACTAAAGCAGCTGCTTGACACCGGCTGCGCGGCTAATATCACATCCCATCAACTAGTGTGGACTGGTTTTTTTTTTGGTTTTTTTTTTCTAGCTATCATATTTTATTCAGAGATGGTGCAGGGAGAGTGTGCCAAAGGATTTTAACACGTCTAACATAATAAAAAAAACCAAGAAAAACCTTATTGCCCGACATGAAGCTGGTCATGAGTGCTGCGTTCGCTGCTGTCGATCTCTTAGCTGATCTCTCGTTCGTGCCCATTTTAAAAGTTTACATTTCCAACCAACAACAGGAAATAATCTTTTTAAATAAAGCTGAAAAGCTAACAGCTAGATAATAATACTGTGTTCAGTGCTAATGTTGGTATTTTAGCTAGCTAACATGCTAAACAGAGACTTACTGAGCTGTGAAAGTTTCAATAAACAGCAGCTGATGAACAGAATTCAGGGAAACCTCTGTCACTAATTTCACTGTTTCACGTCCATTTCAAAAGTTTACATTTAAAGCCCCAAAAGGTTGATTCTGTTCATCTGGACGTTTTCAGTGGGAGAAACGTTTCGTCATCATCAGGTGACTCCTTCAGTCTCAGCTGACTGCAGGTTTCTACCTTATAAACAAGACATTTGCATAATGACTGAAACCAGCACCACTGAATGAACACTGGGCTGGGAGGCCAGTTCCTGGATCATTAAACCAACCAAACCATTACATTAAAAAAAAAACAACAGGAAGTGATATTTTTTAGTAAAGCTAAAAAGCTACAAAAAAAACCTAAGAGCTAGCTAATAATACTGTGTTCATGCTTATTTACTATTTTTTAGTAAATTTACAAACCCTCCGTATCAAAAAAAAGGGAAGACACGTAGATGCAATAAGCTGCCCCTCCACAGGCTTCCAGAAACGGCTAATCAGATGAAAGTGGGCGTTTAGGGAGGGGGGCCTTAAAGAGACAGGCACCAAAACTGAGCTTCAAGTAGAATAAAAACCACAGCAATGAACAGTGACCACTTGTGACCAGAGGGGGCGCTAAAATCGTCGCTACAAAGAAATATTTTCACATCCAAATGTCTGAATTTACTTTTGTACTTTTATGGTTTCGTGTGGATCGTTTCCACTCAGTGTATGAATGTGTTTTATTATCCAGCGATAGTTTTTAAGGTCACACTGATGTTTTAATTTTTTAATAGCACATTTATTTTATGGTTTAATTAAATAACAGTTTTCAGCATGTACTGAGCACCACAGTGTAATAACGGCTTCCTGTCTATAACCACAACACGTCTTTGCTGTTCTCAGGTGAACGTCCACACTGACCTGTAAAATCATTTGTTTGTACAAAAAGTCACAGGAACACTTTTGTGGCATATCGACAGAGTGTAATTATCTCTTCTTCTGATGGTAGAACAGTATTTTTTATGTACATGTGATTTAGGAAATCCTTTCAATCTCGGAGCAACAGGAGCAAACTTGTTATTTCACTGAGTTACTGAGACCGTCTGTAAGCTGATATTTCCTCCCACACACGACCTCTGCAGCAGCTGTGCTGCTCTCACTCTCATTTATGTGATTAAACTCTTTGTACTTCTCTAATATTGTACTTTCATCTTCCTTTGTGAAGCGAGCCACTCTCCCAGTGCTCGTTTATGATCCAGTTGTGCCAAACGTCTATTTAACTGGCATCGCGTTCAAATGAGGCTCCTCCTCTGCATCTTTGGTGGGAGAGACGAGGACACAAGGAGAGGAGTCAAGTACACAAAAGGCACGACATGCATCTTGTCCCATCTGTTTTCACACTCTACTGGACTCTACTGGACTGCCTACCAGTTAAATAGTGCTTACCTGGTACGCTAATCAAGTGCGGCTGACTCGCTGCTCGTTTAACACACTCAGATGTTTTTGTCTGAAAGAAACGTTTGCAGTGCAAAGACGACGTGAAGCCAGTGAAGCAGAGTTTTTTCTCCAAATAGAAATGCTCTTTATTGTAACTCCTGGTTAATCACTCACGTCACCATTCATCTGTTACAGCAGCTGCATCCACAGAAGAAAACAACAGCAACTAGCATGAAGTCATTCAGTGGTTCAGTATGTACAGCAGCAGGGCGGCTGCTCGTCAGCGAGTCTGACCTCTGACCTCTGGGCTCGTATTTCTCAAACTGCCGGAGGTACAATTCCCAACACGCGTCTGACTCTCATAATGAGTCCAAAGAAAAAAAAAGGATAAAAATATGTTAAATAGTTTTTTGGGTTATTGTAATTCTTCAGGTCGTTCTGCTCGCCGTGAGGTGAGAAACACGAGTCCAAAGAAGAGAAACTCAAACCCGTAACTGCCAGCGTGTTTCAAAGAAAGCTAGAATAACATATGACATCATCATCCTGACATCACGCACGCAGCAGGTGAACGAGCAGAGATGCTGACGGGCGCTGAAGCCGCCCTGCGAGTCTAAAGAACTCAAGAAAAACAGAAAAAACACTTCAATGTACAAAAAAGAAAAACATGGAACAATCATGTGTCGTCACAGCAATCACTTCCTGTTTCTAACTACACAAACCAATCAGAGCGCGTCTGGGTGAACGGCGTCAGAATCATCCAGACAAAAGAAAAGTTAAAGAAAGAAAAGAGGAAATCATAAAGTGACCGATGCTCGCTCTGACACGTCTCACTTCTCCATCTGTTTTATCCTCAGTCTTTTATTTTATTGATCCACAGATACAGGAAGCGGCGAGGCAGACGTGACGGCGGGTGATGCAGGAAGTGGCGGTGGTGATTTCTTTTTAAAACTGATGCAGTGAGAGTGATCTGAGCTTAAATCTCACGCAGGGCGGAGCTACTGAACTCGGACTTGAAGGAACAAACGAGCTGAGACGCGAACGCCTCGTTTTTACATGCTTAGAATTATTATTATTGTTACTTTATTAAAGGAAGAAGGCCTTAAAGCTTTAAGAATAAAAGACAGTTTTGCAAAAATTAGTCAGAAACCTCCAGAGCCCAGCGAGCTCAGTTCAAACTATGTGAAACTGAAGATCAGTAAACGGACTCTGATGGACGCTAACAGCAGACGAGCAGCAGCTTCATAAAGTCCTGATTTAATGACGAGCTCGTGTTGCTGATGTGAACGAGCTGCAATCACAAGTTTTCCAACAACAAAAATCAAACCCGTCCGAGTCTCAGGTGGCGGCTCTCAGCGGACACGGGTGGAGGGGACCTGATGCACCTGTCGGCAAGCGTGAAGCTCCCGAGTTATCACCGGGTCTATGTTCCCACGCCCACCTGTGACCGCATCGAGGCGCTGTCTAACTACGCCCACCTCTGCTCATTGGACGTCCTGCTCTGAAGTCTGACCCTCAGGCCTCTGGCGCTCTAAGCTGTGAAACAAACACAAATCAACTTTTCTTCAATGCAAAAACACGTGACAACAGGAATGATCCGACTTTACGTTCCCCCCAAACTGCAGGAAGTTCAGGACCTGTCTCTGAGACAGCTGAAGGTAAAGAGCTCTGCTCCTGCGCTCAGCTTTACCTGACCAGGTGGGCCAAAGCACAGCAGCAGATTTATGAAGTGGATGTTTATAACTTCACCAGATAACAGGCCACTGACCCTTTTCCATTTTTCACTCGTGTCTGTGACTCTGTTGCTCATACCGAGGCTGCAGCTAGCCCTGAGCTCTGGATAGCTTTTAGCTTTAGCCACTTTTCTTCTGTTAGCTTCCTGAAATGTTTCAGTCACATTGGGTTTGTTGTTGGAACATTATTGTGACTGACTTTGGTGAACTTTGCGTCCTCACTCCTTCCATGCTAAAAACGCAGCATGTAGTCCGTGTTGGTGTGCGTCCATGTTTTTGTCTGTCCGGCCGGTCAGCGGCTGGCACGCTGTGCTGGCACACAGCAACAGGGATGCTGCGTTTGGTCTCTGAGTTGTGGTTTAAGACAGAGTCATCGCCATCGTACGAATCCAGAAACACGTTTGATTTTTATTTGTTGCAGAACTTTGTGATTGCACCTCGTGGAGGGAGGAAATCCCCTCTCCTTTTCAGACCTGCTGGCCTTGATTTACCAACACATTAAAAATGATTTGTATACCACCGTTACGTCCGGTCCTGAGTCCAGCCCGCACGGGTTTAACCACCTACAGCTGTGAAACATGCTGATATTCAGTGCAGCTGGTGGATGCTTCATTACATATATTTAACAAAGAGTGATGACGTCACACGTACGGAAGAGCTGAACTCGCCCGCCGTGTTCTCGTCAACATTCAGGATCTATTATTTCATTTTTAGTTAGACTCCATTAATAACAAACATGCCACTTTCTTTATGTAGGTTAAAAAATAGCTGCACATCATTTGGTCACTAAGCAACACTCGCAGACGCTGATTGGAGGAACCAGAGCCGTCAGAGCTCAGCCTGCACTGCAAACATCTCTCAGAAGTGTGTGTGTGTGTGTGTACACCTGTTTAGACATCTTTGTGAGGACAAAACCAGCATGTAACTATACTTGTGGAGATCAACAGCCTTTATGGGGACAAAGTGCCCGTCCCCGAGTTTAAAGGTGGTGTTTAGTGTCAGGGTCACAGTTAGGCATTTATTTCTGATGGTTAGCATTATGTCAATTAGATGTCCTCACTAAGATATGAAAACGTGTGTGTGTGTGTGTGTGTGTGTGTGTGTGTGTGTGTGT